AGAGAGGGGACAGAGAGAGAGGGGACAGGGAGAGAGGGGGACAGGGAGAGAGGGGACAGGGAGAGAGGGGGACAGAGAGGGAGAGAGGGACAGAGAGAGAGAGAGACCGAGAGACAGAGACAGAGGGGGAGACGGAGGGGGCGGGGGAGAGAGCTGTCAGACGTCATTGGGGGCTCAGTAGGCAACACGCCAGGGCAGGGCTGACCAGTTCAATGTCCCTGAGGGGACCCTAACCCACCTGGCCCCTTCTGTCCGTCTGTGGACACGTGCAGGGGCTGGGGMAGGGGCTGACCCTGCACAAGACGCAGCAGGTCCCCCCTGGGTGGACACACCAGCCACCTGAGTTGCCCTCTGTAGGAGGGGCCCAGTCCTGCAGGTCTCCCTGCAGCCTGGGCCACAGACCTCAGGTCCAGGGCCGCCATGGCCCCAAGCCCTAGGTCACTGAGGACATGCCGTGAGGAGGCCAGCCCGTGAAGGACAGGACGACTAGTTTCTCTGGAAGGCGCCGGTGCCCGGGGCACAGCCCTGCCCCAGGCGACCTTCCCGAGGGGCTGCAGTGAGCTGTTTCCTCCCCAGATCCCTGTGGCTCGGGTGCTCGGGTTCCGTCTTGTTTAACAGACGCTGATGTGAGCACCTACTACGTGCAGGCCAGGGAGACACAGAACTCAACACTGCAGGGACACACTGAGGGCCCGGCCCRGGACTCCAAAGGTGAGACAGACCCCTGAGCCTCCCAGGGGAGGTCTYGAGAGGGTGACCTCAGGGCTGCCGCTAAGAGAGACCAGAAGGGACAGAGACGGGATGCGGTGGCCACGGTGCCTTCAGCAGGCCTCGTCGCAGGAGGACGCACCAGGGCCCGGAGGAGAGGTACCAGAGGGCCGGCAGCCCTGGAGAGGAGGGGCGGAGGGAGCAACCCAGAGTGGGCAGGTGTCCCTGGCAGGTGTCCCTTCAGACACGGGTGTCCCTGGCTGAGCTGCAGCCTGGGCTCGCTCGGGCGCAGGGCCTGGAGGGCCCGACGGTCCACTTACTCCGTGGTCGAGGTCAGCTCCTCCGACACGTGGCTGGAGTGCAGCAGGCCTTCCCGCTTCTGCTCGTCCCCGGGAGCAAAGCAGAGAGAGGAGGTGAGAGGACTCGCCCACGCACAGGGTCCCCGGCAGGAGCTCCCTCCCCACGGCTCAGAGGCTCTTCAGGTGGCCGCTGTCCCCCGTGTGGCCTGACAGCGGGCCTCAGAGGGGGTCCTGGAGGAAGCGCCCCGGCTCAGAGTCCCCAGAGGGACTCAGTGTGCCCCAAGGAGGGGCGGAGGGTGTCTGAAGGATGGGGAAACACCCAGTGAGACAGCTCCCAGGCTGAACAGGGTCCCCAAGGACGTCCACCCAGAGCCTCAAATGTGACTTTCCTTAACACCGTCCTTGCGGACGGACGCGAGTGAAGACCAGTGAGCCTGCAGTGAGCCTGAGTCCTGCCCGGCTGGGGTCCTCGCAAGGACAGAGGAGGCAGAGCGGGGGAGGCCACGTGTCCACCAAAGCAGAGATGAGCCCGAAGCCTCGGGACAGCACCCGCTCCCCGGAGGCTGGAGGGCCAGGGTCCTCCCTGAGCCCTCTGAGGTCCTGCTGACCCCTGACCTCAGACTTCTGGCTCTCCGATCCGCCTGCCCTCCTCCCCTCTTACAGCTGCTCTGACTCAGCAGCCAGGGGGCTACCCCAGGGCACCGGCCGTTCCTCGGGGCTGGGCAGGTACACAGGTCATGGAGGGGTGCTGTGGGGTGACAGCTGCAGGCGCTCTGGGGGGACCCTGGTGGCCACTCAATGCCACCACCACCGMAGGCCCCTGCCCGGACCCCTGGCAGGATGGGGGATCGCTTCCTGAGGCGGCGGCCCCCGTGAGCCCCCCTGAGATCTGAGCCTCCCTCCTTCCCGAGCGCGGCCTCCAGAGCCTCTGGGGCTGGTCCCTGTTAATGAGGAACGGCTGGCCCTGGCCAGCAGCCTGCTCGGGCCTCAGGCTGACTGAGTCTCAGAAGAGTTTTCCCGGCGAGGCCAGAGACATCCTGTTCACACTCCAAACGCGCCCTAGGTGCCTACTGGGTGCTGGGCCCAGGCCAAGGTATTGGAGACTTCAAGCCGAATAGTGTAAASGTAGTGGACTCTGGTGGGAAGTCACTGCAGGTCAGTGACCCTGTGGCACAGCCCAGGCCCTGTGGTGGGAGGTGGACGTGGCCCTGGCCTGTTTCTTCCATCCTTGAAATCCCACGGGCCTGGCCTGGCCCCGCCTGGACTAGCGAACCGGACGCCCGAGCAAGTCCAGACGTGCGGGGACAGGCCAGGGGATGGCCGGGCAGGCAGGGCGGCTCGAACGAGGCCGGGAGGCCAGCCTCTGAGCAACGGTGCGGCCAGCTCGGAGCCCCCCCTCCCTTTCCTCCATGCTGGGTGTGGCCCTGTGAACCCCGGTCGGTGTGGGAGGCACCTCGAATACTTGCTTGGGTCAAACATTCCGCAAACCCAAGATTGCCTTGGACCCAGCGCAAGCCCGAAAGGGGACACCCRGACGCTGAGCCTGCGCCAGGCCGGCCGGCTCTGACGTAGGTGGGCTGGGAAACCAGGCTCCCCATGTCCTCGGGAAGCCTTTCCCGGCCGGCTGCCGGCAACCAGGCCTCCAAGATAGGGACCGCAGGATGGCCTCCTGGGGCCCACGTCACCGTGCTGGCCACAGACATCCTCCTTAGGCAGGAAGCGGGCAGAGCAGGCAGGTGACCTTTGCTTAGTGCCAGAGAGGGGCCTTCCAGCCAGGCCAAGCCAGCACCCGGGGTGACGGGGCGGTCAGACGGCTTCGCAAAACAGCGTCTCAGCCAGGTTCTCGCGGACGGCAGGCGCCACAGGACTGGTGAGTCCAAAAATCAGAACGTGTGGCCGGACGTCTCCAGGGACGTAGAGCCCCGAGACCCCCAGGTTCCCAGGAGCCGAGGCAGCTGCTCCTTCAGGCCCGAGGGGGTCTCCTCATCTCGAGACCCCAGCAGCCCAGAGAGCGCCCGGTGCCTGCGAGGTGCTCAGTCCATTCACCAGCAAAACTGCCCGCACCCGGGGCCCCGCACCCAGTGCCGGGGGAAGCAGCGGGGGTGGGGCAGGCCCGGGGGTCCCAGTCCTTCTCCGAGTGAATCAAGAGAAATGAATCCCAAAAAAGAGATAATGGGGATGTGGGACGTGCTCCACGGCAAACGCGCGGAGCCTTTAATTTGGGGATCTATTTCCTCCCGCCGGCCCAGCCTCCTCCAGTAATAAGCACATTCAAGGGATTGAATTCCGACGAGTTGGCTTTGGAGAGAAACGAATGTTCTTTTCAAAAATCTGGAAAATTAAACCTCAACACCCCGCAGCCGCTGCCTCTGCGCCAATCAGCGCCATTGTCCACCCCCCGCCGTCCACCTCGGAGCCAGGGCCAGACCCAGAGGTAGGCGCTCGAGAGGGAAAATCTGCAGATGGAAGGCGGCGGGAGGGGACGTCACGTTGCCTCCCCCGCGCAGGACGCACCCGMCGGCTACTCACCCGGACGACCACCACCTGCACGGACACGTGCTCGGGGAGGCGGATGGGGGCCCGGAAGTGGGTGGCCAGGGCGATGAGGAGGTGCAGGATGGCCACCAGGTTCTTCCCGTGGATGGCTGTGGCAGGGAGGAGAGCGAGGCTCAGGGAATCCGGCCGTCCACAGGGCAGCATCCCCACAGACCTCAGAGGCAAGGACAGGACCGGCCATGGACAGCACAGCGCCGGGCCTCCAGCRTGAGCTCCCCTCTCCTTTCTACTTCTTTCCTTCCTCTGCCCCGGGTGACCGTACTAAAGCAGCCTGGCTTTTTAAGCAGTGAACCGGGAGGAGGACGAGTCACGGCCACGTGCCACCACAGTCATGACGCCATCATCTTTGGCTCCCAGTGACTTCTCCCTGGAGGCCAGTGGCTGTCCCATYGGGGGTGGGCCGTCTCTGGGATGCTGGATGCCGACTCCCGCCTGGCCCAGGTCAGTCTCTGTGGCTGCCCACTCTCCCTAGCCCCCGAGTGCAGGCCGAGGCTGGGCAGCTGCCACCTCTGCCCTTTCCCACCCACGGCCCCTGCACCCTGGAGGCTGGGTCTCTCCAAGTTCTCGGGCCAAGAGGCCAGGGCAGGTGCCCTCTCCGTAGCCTGGCCCAGCTGCCCCGGCCCCAGGGCCACGGGGCCAGCAGGGAGAGCTCTGCACCCCGACTGCCCTGCAGGGGGTGGGAGCAATGGACCAGAGTGGTCCAGCTTCTGTGGGTCAGCTCTCCCTCTCGCTGAGTGCCTGGGCTGGGGACACTGTGACGTCACACTCTCCTGCAGCCAGCTCAGCCTGTGACACCCTCCTGAGGCTGGCCCAAGTTCCTGGGGACTTGCTTTGGGGGCCGTCAGTAAAACAGCTCTTAGAATGAAGGTCCCGGGGGTTTGGAGTCGAGTCCCCACAAGAGCCCCTGGGGACGGCCCTGCCTCTGAAGTCTCCCTGACCCGCCCAGCGGGGGCCACTCCTCTGCTCCCCCCTGGGCAGACAGAGGCCCTCAGGGTGTGCCCCGCTTCGTGGCCTCCTGCCCCTCCCCTCTGCACTGCCCTCCCGTGGGGCAGAAGGGCGAGCAGGTCTCTAACCTCCAGGGCCAGGTGCCTTGGTGGGGGAGACATGTGCAGAGGCAAAGGCTCCATCCAAACACGCCCTCCCTGCCGGGCGCGGTGGCACACGCCTGTAATCCCAGCAGYTCAGGAGGCTGAGAGAGGAGGAGGGTGAGTTCAAAGCCAGCCTCRGCAACAGGGAGGCACTAAGCAACTCAGTGAGGCCCTGTCTCTAAATAAACACAAAATAGGGCTGGGGACGTGGCTCAGTGGTCCAGTGCCCCTGGGTTCAATCTCTGGTACCCCCCAAACCCCCAAAAGACATGCCTTCCCGGCGCCACTCACAGTCCACGCTCCACCGCAGCGCCCAGCCGTGCGGCCGYAGCAGGTCCAACACGGCGTCCAGAACCGTTTGCAGCTTCTGCTTCTGCCCGATCTCGGACTGGGTCACCTCAGCCACGTTCAGCTTGCGGTCCGCCAGCTTCTCTGCAAGAGGAGGACGAGACTGGAGGCTGCGTGTCAGAGGAGGCAGGAGGGGCCAGGGTGGCCCGGTCACCTGCCAACTGAGGCCCCTGAGGTGGAGCAGGTGACTGCAAGACACGGGGAGTTTTGAGACGTGGAAGTAAGAACCCCAAGTCCAAGGTCGTTCCACASCAGAAGGAAGAGCAGGACGGGGCAGGGGTGAAACGTGGAGCCCCCCCCCCTCCCCTGCAGATCAATCCATGAACACAAAATGGAAGAGTCACGGAAGACCTCGCTGAGGGCCAGGGGCACCTGGAGGAGTGGGCAGCTCGGTGAGGAGCCCGTCCTGGGGACATGAGCTTAGCGGGGCCAGGAAGGCTCTGGGGCCACCTCCCTCCTGCGTGCCACTCCCACTGGCCCCGCTGACGTCCTGACACACAGAGAAGTTTGCTAGAGCTTCACGGGGCTCACGCCATGTTGTCCCCTAGAGGGAGCAGCAACTGGGAGGGGCCTGGCGAGTACAGGGACTGTCACCTGYGCTCAAGATTCAATTACTGAGCCAGAGACCCGGCCGCGGCCTGCGTTCCTTCAATTTCCCTGAGGAGCGAGCACAGCGGCAGGTGAGGGCAGGGGACAGCAGACGYGGGCAGGGGCGCTCCAGCCGCCCTGGTGAGGGCAGCGTGGCGGGGGACCCGGTTTCCTCCCACTCGTAGATTCCAGGCTCAGACGTCGGRGCCAGACCTCCGCCAAACGGCCAAAGTGTCCCGGGACGGTCCCAGGAGGGCGTTTAAAACCCCACCTGCTAGGTGACAGGCAYAGTCCTGGAGCTCAGCAGGCAGGGACAAGGGGTCCTAGTGCAGAGACAGGCGGGGTGGGAGGTGACCGAGGGGGTCCTGGACACACCAACTGCGCACCATCCAGCTGGGCCGAGGGCAAGAARGAAGGGAAACAAGAGCCTGCCACACCGGCCTGGGGACGGTGACGCCTGGCACACGGGTCCCTCCACCTGATCCAACCAGCCCTGCCAAAGAATCCAGTGTCCCAGAAACACCCTGGAAACCCAGCAAGCCGGGTGCACGAGTGTCCCAGGACCTAGCACCGGGCAGAGCCGGGGCCCAGGAGCCCAGTCCAGTAGGACAGACAGGGACCCGGGACACCCCTCCTGTCCCCTGCCAGCCACGTCACCTGGGGTGGAAGAGGAGGTGGAGAGACAGAGAAGGAAACTGCACCCATCCCCKGGCAGCGTGACAAAGCATCAGAGGAGGAGGACAGCCAAGAGTGGTCCTCGTGCCCAGGGCTGCCCGCCTGCGGCCGGGCGGCTGGGCTGGTTTCTCCTGAGCCTCTCCTCCGGCTCCTTGACTCCACCTTCCCCCTGTCCYCACATGGCCCTGCTGTGTGTCTGGGTCCCAATCTCTTCTCCTTATCAGGACACCAGTCACGGTGGCCCAGCCCCCACCACGAGGCCCCAATCGACTTCTCCAAACAGTCTCACCCTGTGGGGTGGACGGGCTTCAGYGTGTGAGTTTCAGGGGACACACCCAGCCGTAACGGAGACCAGGGAGGCTGGCTGTGCCTGGGGTGGCCTGGGCTGGGTCCTGGGTGGCACTCCACGTGGCGGGGAACCAGGGACATGGCTGCTGGGCCACCAGACATCACCCTGCCCACTGCTGAGAYGGGAGCAGCCCAGGCTTCGCCGGGGCCTGGACTCTCTTCCCAGCTCAGAAAGAGACAGAGAAAAGCCGCCGGACCTCAGGCAGTCGGGAGGCCMTGGTGACAGCAACGAGGGCTGCACACACAGAGGCGGTGGGCAGGGGGCGGCTAGCAGAGGCAGTAGCCGGCCCGGGAGCCCCCACGGCCGTCGGCATGGCACCCTCTGCCCACAAAGAGCAACGTAGCACAGATGTGCCCCAGAAACCCGCCTGCCACGGAGACTGACAGCTCCTCTGGGACCGGCCACCGGGTCCTCACCAGCGGCAATCTCCACATGGCCAAGCCCAGAGGCCCTCTCTGTCCTGGACTCCTCACCCTGCCTCCTGGACRCACCCTCGGTCCCTCCCGGTACCAGACTCCTTGTGGCCCATCCTGTCCAGCTGCTTTGCTGGCTCCTCCTCTTCCTGACCGCTCCTGCTGACCACCACAGCCCACTCCTCAGACGCACAGGTGGCAACTTTGGCCTTGGGACTCGGCCCAAATCCCGTATTTGGTTTAGATTTTGCCTTTTGTAGCCAAGGAGTGAAATGCCTGCAGCAAGACCTCTCCTGGAATCTGGGCCTCGCTCAAGAGTCACGTGGGCTACCAACGCATCTCCTCAGGGTCACAACAGGTCCCACACCGGGCACGACGTCGGGGTGTCCTGTCCACAGCTGACTATCCCTGAACGTTGTCCTTGTCTTCAACGTGGGACACTGACCCAGGGACAAACAAGAGACTGTAAAGTGGCCTTTCGAGTACTTATTGGGRACCCCCAAACAAGGAGGACCAGCAGCCTGGCCACTGTGACAAGGCCGCGGAGCCAAGGGAGCCTCCCCCACGCTGGGCACAAGACAAAGGCGCGTAGCCAGGCTCATGGCCACCCTGGCCCGAGGAAGTGCTGCACTCATGGGGCCAACTGAAGAGGGAACCGAAAGGACGTGAAGTCCAGCCAGAGGACAAGGACACTGCTCCAAAGGACGGCCCCGACGCAGACGGGGGACRGCATTGTTCTTACCCCACCGCGGCTGACGTGACACAAATCCAAGCCTGTCCTGGGATCCTGAGATCCGGTCCCTGAACCTCACACCACTCGGCAAGGCCTGGGGACATTTTTTTTTTTTTTTGAGATGAGACAGGTGGAGCAGAAACAAAGAAGCAAACCCACATTTATAACAACAAAACGTTTCAGAGAGCACCGCTCGAGTTTGCTCATGAAGACACCAGGAAGCGTCTGTTCCGGGTAGAGAGAAAAGGCCGACTTGAGCGACGGCTTCAATAAAACATCCCCCCGGCAGCCAGGTCCCCGAGGCCCAGAGTCCACGAGGAGCTAAGTCTTCATGGTCACTGGTCCTTCTGAGGGGAGCTGAGAGCCAGGCTGCGTCACCACCCGTTGTCCCTTGAGGACAGTGACAGGTAAGGTCAGTGTGCTGCTCTGGACTCCTCAGCTGACAGTCTCCACCAGCTCACATGTCCAGTGTGAAAAGAGTGACCAGCACCTGGCTGCTGGGAACGACTGTGCGCCAGCACCCGGCTGCTGGGAATGACTGCGCACAGCACCCGAGGAAGTCAGCTCCACTGGACAGCGGGACGTTGGCACCCACCCACTAACCCTTCACAACAGAGTCACGATAACTATGAGACCCTGCCCAGGGACACTTCAGATCCATCCGGGAACCCCAGAATCATCCTAAGACGGGATCCTGCCTCAGCCAAACTGACGTCCCTCCTTGGCCACCTGAARTTCGGTCAAATAAGGAATCTGGAGCCCCCTCTTCCAGGTGACGCCATCCAGTCCAGGACACTGAGCRCACGCGGACGCTGCGGCTGGACTCCAGACTCCTGCCCAGCAGTGGACTTCAGGATGCAGAGCTCCTCCCCGGGCAGCTGTCACCCCCAGAACACTGTCCCTGTCACACTCCTGCCCTGGTCAGAGCTGCAAAGACAGCCTGGTCAACGTCCCAGCCCAACTCCTGACCCTCCTTCCCATCTGCTCTGCACCCAGAAGCCCACGTGGCCTTTTAAATCTCCAGCTGAGACCGTGTCAGGACCCTGCTCGGGGCCTCTAGTGGCCTCCTGTCATGTGGGAGAGAAGCGCTGCTGCCCAGGCTGGACGCCATCTGGCCCCATCTGTCCTCCCAGCCTCGTCTCACGACCGTGTCTGCACGGCTGCCCCCCCCCCCCACTGACCGTCTACACAACAGGCTCCTCCTGGCGTCAGAGCCTTGGCCTGGACGTCCTTCCCTGTCCTGTGCGCAGGTCGGCTCCTGGGCGGGGTCCCTGGCTGTCCAGTGCCACAACTGCCCCCGCACCCACAGGCTGCTCTCCCCCGGGGCTCCCTGCCCCTCACCGCGGCTCCTTAGGCTTCAGGTTGAACCGTCCACATGCACCTCGTCCTCTGTCCACCCTCGGCTGGAACACACACCTGGTGGCCCTCGGGCTCACCCCGTGTCTGSAGCCTGGGCCGCCTGGACCCGCCCTGGCACTGCCAGCCCCTGAACAAAGGAGCGGGTGACCTCACGGTGACAACAGCTTCCCTCCAAGTGCAGTCTGGAGGACAGGGGACCCCTCCTGTCACGTTCCTCACGACACAACACCAGGGTCACCCCAGGGACTGGGCGGCACGAAGCAACCCACAGAGACAGAGGCACCTTCTTCTTTGGGTCCTGTGACGGCTGCTCTGACCTTAGGGGTCAGTGAAGAGCGAGCACTGCTGACCCCTCTTACTGGGGAGAAGCCATTCAAACGAGGCCAGGGGTCAGGTTTCGGGGGCTGAGTCTAGCTTCCTGATGTCCACTGTTAGCAGGTCGAGTGACATCTAGGAAGCCACAGCCAAAGGCAGAGCAGAGAAGGGGACACACCAGGGCACTTCCTTGGAACATTCTATCCCAAACAGGGCACGGGGTGGGACCACAGCAGAACAGGTGACGTGGCTCAGCCCAGGGGGACACGCCTACTCAGAAGACTGGCCTTGGGACCACCGYGCCAGACTCAGCCATCTCTCAGATCCCCGTGGGCATCAGGACTGGAGGGCGTGGTCACTCAGAGCGGCTCCGCACACTCCCCGGCSGTCCAGGAGGTGATGTGACCCCGCGCCTTCCCTCAGCAGGTGAGACGGTGGCAGGGCCATTTACATGGCGGGTGCAGACCCCGCCCCGAGTGAAGGACTGGGCCTCCCCACACCCTCGCTCTGCAGAGGCCGCCCTGGGTGTCCGGCCTCCCTCCCTGGGCAGAGGCTCCCCTCCTACTCCAGCCCCAGGGCGCCTCCTCCAGGCAGCCCATCTTGTCTGCGCCCCCAGCTGCTCTCTCTCCAGTCGGTGGCCCCCACCCCCCCCAGGGTCCTGCAGCCCCCGCCCCTGCCTCTGCCCCGCCCCCGTCCCCAGGGAGGGGCCTCCGTGGGGTCCAGCACAGGGCGGGTGCTGGGAGGAAGGAGGCCCTGATGCGGGTCTGCCGACCCCACCCGACGTGGGGGCCTGGGGTCTCGGGGTGACACTGAAGAGGCACATTAACAGGCTCTCCCAGGTGTCGGCCCTGAAGACACCCCAGAGCGTCCTGGGGACGGGAAGCCAAGCCACAGTCAGCGGGCGGGGGTCCAGCCAGCTGGGCCAGCGGGCCCCGCTGACGTCACCCCCCCCCCTTTCCCACTGAAGTGGCCCCATCCACGTGGTCACCAAACTGCAGGACCCTTCCCGCCCCTCCCACAAATGTGCCAGGCTCCAGTCACCCCGAGGACCCAGGGACCCCAGGGAGCCAGGCGGCAGCCACCCTGGCCAGCTCCTCCGTTGTCTTTCTCATTTTAAGTCCTCCCAGTGACCGCAGACCAGGCGCCGGCCACGCTGAGTGCCACGTGCGCTGTTCAGGGTGGCGCTCTGTCCCCGGTGACACAGGAAGGAGCTGGGTGACTGCAGCCTCCAATCCCGCCTCCCTCCTGAACCACACCCTCAAGTGTGAGGCCACTGTCCCTGGACCCCTTCCGGTCAGGACATCGGCCAGGGTGGCCCTGTGGGGACGGTGGCCCAGCCCCGGCTCTACCACTCACCCAGCAGCTTCTGCAGCACCTGGCCATCGTAGAGGTCCTCCTCCAGCTGCTTCACGATGATCCTGTCCTCCACCAGCACGTCGTTGACCCAGTCCAGCAGGACCTGGGGGAGCAGGCYGTGAGCCAAGGAAGGGACGGCCACCCTCAGCCCACACCACAATGGCCACCGGACAGGCCTCTCCCAGCCCACGGCCGGGCAGGAGGGCTCAGCCCACGCAGCCGCACACCTGCCCTGGAGGCGGGGGCTGCCCAGGGAGCTCCGGGCGCCRGGTGAGGACGGGCCTCCTTCCTGCCGGGAGCATGATGCGAGCCAGGARGTGAGGTGACCCACGCCCTCCCTCAGCAGGAGAGACGGTGGCAGGGAGGCGGGGGCACGGGAGTGAGTGCTGGTACTGCCACCCCSGGCCCCCAGGCAGGAAGGGGCCGTCAGACACCCCCCTGGCCCCCCCTCAGGGCTGGGGGAGCCCCAGGCTGTGGCAGGAGGGTCAGCCTGGCCTCTGGCCAGCTCCAGCCCCTGCTTCCTGCAGCACTTTATAAAACAGCTTTAGTGAGAGACGATCCACTGCCACACCATCCAGTGGGTGTGGTACCACCTCCAAGTCGTGCAAAAGCCCCGTCMACTTCAGAACCTCACCACCGCCCTAAACAGAAGCCCCGTCTGTCCCTCTCGGGCCCTCCCAACCAGGACCTGTCTTCTGTCCTGTGGCCTCATGCTCCTGGCCTTCTGGGACGGGCTTCTTTCTCTTCCTTCTTCCTCCTGTTGTCCAGCTCTGCCCACGTTGCAGCGTGGGCCCACCCTGTTCCTTCTTTATGGCTGCAGACTGTTCCACTGCACGCACGTGCTGTTGACCCTCTCATCCATCGCTGTGCGTTTGGGTCACTGCCGCTCACTTTGGTGCTGTGAAGAGCACGGCTGAGACCGTCCGCCTTCCCGTCTGCCTGTGGAGGTGAACTTCCCTCTTTCCAGGCAGCCTCTTCATCAGGCCTTTTCTCAACAAACTCCCCAGCTGGGCTCCGGGTGGTGCTTTGGGGCTGCTTCTGCTGATGCGTGGGTCCCGGAGCCGCGCTCCCCGGCCAGCCCTGCCCACAGCAGCCCTGCTCCCAGGACAGGACTGCACAGCCTGGGCGGCCTTGGTCGTCCATACGTCCCCCGGGCGCACYGTGTGCACCAGGGAGGCAGACGCCTCTTGCCCCTGACCCGAGGCCTGGCATGTCACGGGGGCTGTCCAAGGCCGACCTGGGCCTGGGCCCCAGAACCGACTCCCGCAGCACAGCAGTGAGACCTGCACCCGGGACCCCAGCCCKCTCTGGGCCCTGCATGACGGCTGCTGCTCTCCTCCTCCTCCCTTTTCTTCTTCCAACTTGTGTTTTGTTTATTTATTTGGTGGAGAGGGGCAGGAACGGAGCACAGGAGGGGCCCAAACAGACAGCAGGACTGCTGACCACACTCTGGGAAGGCCTCCTGGGCACGCAGACCTTTGGTTCCCAGGCCTGGCCCAGGGCACCGTCCCCGGAGAGGATGTTTCTGCAGGAAGAAGCTAAAACCTAAAAACGATCTAAATCACATCTGGATCCTGCCCTGGTCCAAGCCCAGACAGAAAACAACAGAAACCAGAACCAGACCCCTGCCGCAGACCCAGCGGTCAGCTCCGGGGAGAGCCAGCCAGCGCCAGCTCAGAGTCACCGTGCCTGGGGAGGGCAGCACGTGGTCCCGGAGCTCCCGGACCATCCGTCTTGTCTTCTGTTCTGCACAAGACCTTTTAAAGGTAGCACAGGGCGTGATTTTTAGGGACGTGCTCATTTGCACACCCGGGTCCCGCAGGTGAGTGTCCAGGACATGGATTACTCATGCCCTCGAGGTCACCTTGGTTTTATGAGCTTGCTTTAACCCGAGTAAAAAATTTCTTCCTCCTGAGTTCCTCCTGAACCGCCAAAGGGTCTGCAGTGGCCTCTGGGGGCCGGGACTGTCATCTTCTCACCCCTTCCAGACGCGGTCCTGGCCCACCGGGGACGCCCGCTCACGGCACCGGGCAGGAGGCCCCCTGGGCTGGCAGCTGGGGGCACGGCAGGCGCCTCTGCGAGGCCCCGCAGTCCGGGCCTCAGCCCCAGGGTGGTTTCCGTGCCGCTGATTTTCTCCCCAGACGCCAAGGGGAGGAAGACCGTCCAGTGGGCTGGGAGACGCGCGCTCCAGGGTCCAGAGGGGCGGCTTCTGTCCAGCGCGCAGGAGTTTCACGTGGTTTTTCTTCAACTCCAAACACACACTGTTCCCAGCACTTCTCTGACTCTCTGTCCTCCAATTTGACAATGACCCTAATTACCCAAACTGGGGTTCCACAAGTTGAGAGCGCCGTCCCCCCAGGCTGGCCCCACTCCCCAGAACACTGCCCCTCTGCCCCTCAGACGGCCGGCGGGGTCTCCCCGCCCTGGGTCGGGTCATTTCAGAGACTGGCCTCGGAATTCAGCAGAGCTTTACGGGGCTGGCGATGACAGGGCACGTGACCCTGAAGGCATCATAACGTCCATTAGGGAGGGCGGAGGGCGCAGGCGTGGGCACAGGCCAGCCCCCTCCTCACAGCCCTCCTGGCGTCTCACTGACCCCGAGCCCCCCCCATTTCCACTTGTCCAGAGCTGCGTCGTTAGGCGGCCACAGGGCCACCGGGAATTGGGCTCCCCGGGCCTCCCCAGAGTCCAGCGTCAACCCTCCCATGACCGGTCAGCCCTCCGAGACCAGCCCCCATCCTGCAGATGGCCCCAGCAGCCATCGGGGGTGGTCCTAAGGGCCCTGCAGGAGTCCCGGGAGACCCTCTGCCCTAGAGAAACCCAGGCATGGAGGAGCCCTGCGCCGGCCATCAAGGACGAAGGCCAGCKCGGCTCTCCACCTTCCCCCGGCGTGAGTCTTCCTCGGCTGGAGGGCCCGGGACCACGGTCCTCTTTTGAGAATCGTTAAAAATACAAAGTGCCTCATTCGTGAGCCACCTCCTGCCTGGGCAGCACYTGCCGTCCACCCAGGAGGAGTTGAGCTGTGGAAGACGCCAGACTCCTGGACCCGGGCAGCAGAGGCCAGGAGGGGGAAGACGTCCAGGTCGTCCGTCGCCCGGAGCCSACGCCAGTCCCGTTTCTAAACAGGCAGCCAGGCCAGCAGCGTCCCTCCGCTCCTGCCTGCCTGCTCCTGGCACCCGGTGGCCTCAGGAGCGTGTGGGTGCCCAGCACCTGCCCAGCTCCACCTGCACCCRAGTTAGGATCTGGACTTGGGAAGCTGACCCCAGAGCCACCGTCACCCCTGGGCACCACATCCCAGGAGGTGTCCCTCAGCAGTCTTGGGACTTCCCGGGACCCCTGTGGATCCCTAAGCTGTTGAAGTCCTTTGTTTTTTTGGTACCAGGAACTGAACCCCGGGGCTCTTTACCACTAACCACATCCTTAGCCCCTTTATTTTTTATTTAGAGACAGGGCCTCCCTGAGTTGCGTAGGGCCTCRCTAAGTTGCTGAGGCTGGTTTTGAACTGCCATCCTCCTGCCTCAGCCTCCCGGTCCCTGGGATTACAGGCGTGTGCCCTGTGCCTGGCTGAAGCGCCTTCTTTTAAACACTGTATTTATTTGCGTGGAACCTACGAAACCCTCCTGTACGCCTGGAAGGGCCTCTGGAAGACTTACAAGACCTCGCCGGTGTCACTGCGAGTTCAATGTGGTGACACTGGACTGTTCAGGGAATAATTTCAAGAAAAAGGCATTTGTACCTCTTCAGCACAGACGTAGCCCTCTTGGCCTGACCAGGTGGCAGACTTCAGCAACAGTGCAACATTGTTTCTAGTATTTTCCACCTGAGGGTTGTTGAGCCTGCAGCTGCAGACCCAGCTGTGACCCCCTCCCAGCTCCCGGGCAGGGAGGCGCTCATTCAGGCGTGGTGGGCCGGGAGCGAACACCTGAGGGGTCTCTATCGGCAGCCCCAGGGGAGGGTCAGGGGGACCGTGTGGGCGTGCGGCTGACACACAACACAGGTTCCCTGCTCCGTCAGAGCCATGGCGTCTGCAWCTTGGAGAAGAGTTCCAGGAGAATGGGGCCAGAGCTGGGGACTGGGGACTTGGACGCTGAGGCAGGTGTCCCCAGCACACCCGGGGAGCCAGGAGGCAGCCAGCCACCTGGGGCTTCAGAAGACCCCTGGCTGGGCACCCGGTGGCTGCCCGTCTTCAGCAGCCCTGCCCGCAGCAGCGCCCTCCRTCAGCCTCACCTTGACCAGCTCCTTGAACTTGGGGTCCTCTCTGGAGGTGGGGTCGATCATCGTGCGCTCCTCATTCTCCTCTGTCGGGGACAAAAGGGCACAGTTGATGTCTGTGAGGTGGCAGGGACGGGGCGGCCGACTCCCACACATCAGGGGCGGGGGATGGCAGAGACCCTCACCTCCTCCGCAGGGCCACGCCCAAGCCGGGGACCAMCCTCAAAGTCAAAACCAGACCCAGAGCGTGGGGGGGCCTCGCCCAGGGGACAGGGTCACAGGCACAGTTCTGCCCCCACCAGCCCAGGCCACCTCCACCGGGAGAAGGAGGCCGGCRCGTCCACTGGGGCCTGGCACAGCAGAAAGGGCCCTGCCCTAGGAGCTCCTGCGGCCCCTGGGACGGTCACCGAGGGCCACGGGAGGGGTTTGAGGTGTTAGTTGGGAAAAAATATCCTGCAAAACAGCCCTTATGAGAAATGTCAGAGATAACGACAAGAAATGACACCGGACAGCGACGCCCCGGCCCCGTCCTGACCATTCTGACCGTTCTGACCGTCCTGACCGTCCTGACCGTCCTGACCATCCTGACCATCCTGACCCTTCCTGACCCGTCCTGATCATCCTGACCATCCTGACCCGTCCTGACCGTCCTGATCATCCTGACCATCCTGACCCGTCCTGACCGTCCTGATCATCCTGACCATCCTGACCCGTCCTGACCGGCTCCCTGTGTTCTGGCTCCTCCCCCTGGACCCTCCCTGGACCCCGCCAAGCCAGGGGGAGCAGGCAAGGCAGCGGGAGGAAGCAGGACCCTGGAGGGAGACCCACAGACCCAGCCAGGACAGGAGGACGCTGACCGGGCAGGAGAGGAGCCTCAGGCAGCCCTGCCCAGCTCGGGGACCTGGGCAGAGGGTGAGGCCAGAGGCCCCGGGTCCAGTGCTGGGAGGAGCCACACCAGCCCCCCCCTTAAGGAGAGGAAAAGAAGGCGATCAGAGGCTCAGGCAGGACCAGGTGCCCTCAAGGCATAGGGGGACGGCCAGGAAGCCACCGAGACCAGGATCCAGGGCCACACCAGGTCCCACGGGGCAGAGGATGCTGTCCACGTCCATCAGTGAAACTGCCCTCAGACCAGACGCGGTGCAGACTTCACGGCAATAAAAGTCCAAACTCACAAAATGGAAAAGCTGTTTGGAACCCGCTGGCCAGCGACTGGGAGGGACACTCCCGGTGGCAGCAAGGGACACTCAGGGCCCTGCCAAGGCTGCAGCAGCCTCCCTCTGTCCTGGGATCAAGGTCAGCACCTTCCAGATCCCCTTCCCCAGCTCCTTTCCCACCTCACTCCTCCGGCCTCCCTCTCTCCCAGCCAACCTCACAGCCCAGGGCGGCCATTCCTGGAGAGCAGACGCCCGAGAGCTGGCCTTCCACGGTCGCCCCACCCAGGCCCCAACCCAGCCTCCGCTCCAGCCCTCC